GAACTGGCAAGTGACTGAGGAGTGAAACCGGGTAATATAGTGAGTGACCTAATCAAGTGCAGCTGGTGATAAGGGAGTGAGGAACAGGTGAACGTGATTAGTGTTAATGGGCAAGAGACAGTAGGAAAGGTGAGGGAGGCCAGAGCGGCCGAGCTAACCTGACAGGCCCTTAATGACAGAAGCTCTCAAATCTTGTTGTCTCTCCACTTAGACATTTTAGTTAGTGCCTTCATTGTAAATGACTGCTTTTCTTCACCAGTGTGAATACTGCAGACTGTAACCTGCTGTATTCTGATATCGGCTCACATGAACATTATGGAAACTTCGTATTAGGGAGTTGGCAGGGTAAAGTCCACTTAATGTCTGGGCCAACTGACTCAAACATTTGTGTTCACACATACAACTCCTCCGGGTAATGTCTACATAGTTTCAGGATTGCAGTGTATGCCTGAAAAGGGCTTAGGGCTACTGGAATCAAGATGATTGCAAGTAGTTCTTACCTGACTGTAACTCGCACTGCATCAGAGGATAGTATTTGCATAAAGTTGAGCCTTTTTCAACCTTCTTCTGTAGTGCAGCTGGGTGTTTTCTGAATCTGCCATGCTGAGTGGGAGATGAAAAGCTGCAAAGCCAGGTTTCATTCACAATTATCAACCATCAGTGGCCCAGCTTTCTGAATTTTTATGTGTCAGCACCACTGATTTTGGCCATTCTTTTTTAAGCTGGCTAGTCTCTGGCTAGGGCCCCAACTCTGTGAGAAAGCAATACTGAATTACTGAGATTCCTCTTTAATTTCACTCCAGTTCACTTACCATAGTTCCATCCAGTCTAATGCCTCACTCTACGTTTTGTTATCTTAAAGCTTTGTCTGTTGTTCAGTAGTGTGTCTACGCAGTTTTGAGTCTGTATATACTGTAGCATCATGTTCTTTTGTTCATGATTAATGTTAAGGTTTGTTCCCATTTATCTCCCCTCATTAAATATGTTATATTTCTTTCTTATGTCTTTGTTATTTTGTTTTGGTCCCTTTCCCTGCCTTCCTCTCTGTTTCTACTGACAGGTCCTCATTCCCGCCATCCACATTCACCTGACCAGTGCTAAAAACTGCTGTGCCAACCGCTGTGGGGTGAGTGTGTATGGTTACAACTGCCTCCTTGCATCATTTATAACTCAAGTTTGTTTCAACAAACCTTGTCTTGCCTCTTGCCGACCTTTGTGACTTTGGTACTATCTGTATAACTGTAAACGTTTCAGACGCAACTAACTATATGATTGATGTTGAAAGTTGTCATTTTAAGCAGTCCTCAGCTGAGATGCATGAAGCCTTTTTGCAATTATGTTATAAAACATGCTGGTCCAGAGAAATTAGCTCCTTAAAGGGTGCTGGAACCAGAGCTGTGCAGCTTGCATGTTGTTATTCTGATGATATAGAGTTATGCACTCTTGGTCACAGAGGCACTTCATAAACTAGAGTTTGAGATCTCAAGACACCGTTGACACTGTGACAACTTGAAGAAAATTGATGTTGTTGACTTGTACAAATATTTTTCAGTATGGCTTGATGAATGTCTTTCTTTTAAATAACATGTTGAAAACCTTGTGAACAAACTAAAACTGAAATTGGGGTTTTGTTTCAAACATGTCTTATTTTTCTTTGGAATCCAGGAAAATGTTTTTGCTGCCACCCTCTTACCAGGTTTTGATTATGGTGATTTGTTATACATGCACAATGTTAAGCAGCACAATGTCTTCATATGTTGAGTTCTGATAATCACAACATTTATAACCACTCTGGCATAAAAATGCTTCAGAAAAACCTCAAACTTTGTCTCCAAAATATTGGGCACTTACAGTGTCAAGGATGAATGTGTTACTTACTGTACTGATTCCACTGTGTGTGCTCCATGCAGATGTTCCTATCCATTGGTTTTGCTGCAGTTGGTGTGGTGGGGGCCTTGTACAGTCTAAGCGTTGGTGCCCTTGGCCTTGTTAATGGGCCAATGTGTTTGTGGAGCAATGGAAACAACCTTATTCCACAATGGGGGACGCCCTTTCTTAACAGGTACAGGCAGTCTTTATGGACATACTGTATATACAACACATATTTTCAGGCATTTAATCCTTTTACTTGAAATTGTTGTGGGATTAAGTATTATGATAATAAAATAATACTTTAATATACTTTAATAATAATACTTTAAAAATATGTATCAATTTACATTACTCATTTTCAATCCATTCCAGTAATGGGAGCTACCTGACTGACAGAGAAATGTGGAAATGGTGTCAAAAACCACCGAATGTGGTTGAATTCAACGTGGGACTGTTCTCCACTCTGCTAGTAGCAGCATGCCTCGAGCTCGTCCTCTGTGCAATCCAGATGGTCAATGGACTGTTTGGATGTATCTGTGGCACATGTGCCGGAAAGGAGGTGAGATCAGAGCAAACTAAGGGGTTTAATATGATAGAAACCAACTAGACTGTGTAACTAATGGGAAAATGTTTCTACCTGTTCTGAAAGGACACACTCAGCGAGGTGATGAACCTCCTCCTGGTCGAATCTTTTTGCAAGAACGCAGTGTCTTTTGTGTGTCCTTGTATTTTTAACATGTTAAAAATGGATGAGTCATCATTATTTGGCCTGATTTGCTAGCCTAGATGATGTCCAAAAACTATGATCTATACAAATTATTTAAGGATATATTTGGTGCTTTTTTGATGGTGGACAAGTTTTAAATCTTGGTAACTAAGTGAAATTAATGAATTGATGCCCTCAGTATTAAGAAAACTGCAAATAACATTTTGTTCATGGCTGATTGCATCCTAAGGGACTTCATGAAGAACCTCTTCTTTTCTTTGTTTCATCTTTATAAGTAAATACTCAAAAAATGCAAGTCTACAGTGGGGAAAGGCTTCTAAAACCAGTGCCTCTTTGCTAATTTTAAGGCTTATAAGAAATCGTTCTATACCTAAAACCCTTTATGCACCAAATGTACAGTAACCTCAAATGGTTGCCATTTAACTTGCTTGCATCTTAATGCTTACATAACCCATCCATGTAGGGATATTGATATTTGGCTTGGCTGTGGCGACTGCCAACTGCTTTTCAGCTAGCAAGGATCATCATACTGCTCAGTGACTGTGAGGCCAGGGATTTTTAGTGTGTATGCTTGTAACTGTGGTCCAGATGTACAAAATAAGCTCTCTCTCTCTCCTCTCTCAACAGTAAACCAAACTACAACACACCATGGCTTGAAGGAGAAGTACAGGGACTGATTTCTTAATTATTTCATCATTCTGCAATTACTCTGATTGTAGGCTTTAGATGGAAAAACTGATGCATCTTTGTGCCTGTAAACTTGTATGTTCATAAATATTTTGTAATAAACTCTCAAGTTCACATATTTCATTAGTGCTAATTACATTCTTTTAGATACATGCATACAGTTTTAATGTTACTGTGTATGTATACTTTTACTTTACAAAAATGTTTTATGTCTACTATTTTTAAAATGCAGTATTGCCATTTTCTTTTTACTTTTAGAAGGCTACTTCTTCGAATTGCAAATATAATGTAGGTTCAGAAATATCCACAATCTCATGTTTTTATTAATGTTTGCACTGGCCCCAGGAATAAAAAATCCTACGAGCTTTTGATCGTACTTCACACTTCCTTTCCAAAAACCACGCGCTGTACCTGCAAATTAATGACAAATCTTAAAATGTTACCGACTAAACGATAACGTTTCATGACCCCGACGTGATTTGAACACGCAACCTTCTGATCTGGAGTCAGACGCGCTACCGTTGCGCCACGAGGTCCTCCGTTTTATCGGCCCTTAAAAACCAAATAGTTCATCAATTCCACATAAAAGGAGACCTACATTCTATATGATGCGTATCTTTGCATTACTTTTGCGTTATGCTACAGTAAAATTAACATGTTTACAATTATGAAAGGTTAGCAGATAGTGGACCGTCTTTAACAAGATTTACAATTAAATATATAATTCAGGCGTTCAAAAAAAGAATACAGTGAAGCGCATAAACGTCCATACAAGATATTTCCGACACCAGTCCACTTCCTTCTGTTAATCGCCAGGAGGCATAGTTGCAGTGTTCTCGGTGGTCACAAATGATCCGCATGGGAAATTGACGTGCGCCTATAAACCATTATTTACGTTAGATATCTGAAATCCGGTGGACTGCATCAGGTCTTCAAAATAAGACATCTAAGAAGGACTTCAAAAAGAATATTGACAAATGCAATTAATCAAATTATACACGCAATACATTTAAATATAACTTATTATGTGGCCCTTGTTCTTACAAAAATCACAAGGTCCCAACAGGAACTGATATTTATATGTTCCAAAAGAGTTGGACTACAATCTCACAAATAATCAAACATTCACTGTATCATTTCGGAGGAATTTCTGAATCAAAGTTTTTGTTGTGAATGAGGTTACATCAAACACCCCATAAACACTAACGGGGACTGATGTATTTCTGTTCCAGAGGATACAGACTACAACCTAACAAAGACTAAAGTAGTTTTACTGTACCGCGACATTTCAAATTAAAGGTCCCATAAGTGCCCTTTGAGGGTGCATAAAAATTGTTTGGTCCATAAGTTCTCACAGGAACTGCTGTGTTTCTGTTCTAGAAAAGTCAGACTACAACCTCAAAAAGAATAGTTTTACTATACCATTTTTTCTATACCATTTTTTCAAATTAAAGGTCCAATATTTGTATAAAGGCATAGCTTTTGTTATGGACTTTGATGCTGCATAAAACAGGTTGGTCAATATGTTTTCCTGAGGACTGACGTTTTTCAATCTAAAATAGTAATACTACAACCTCACAAAGAATAAAGATGTTTTACTGTACATTTTTTCAAATTAAATGTCCCGTTTTTATATTAGAAATATTTTTTGTATGTTTGTTTACAGATATGAAGCTTTATAAAAACCAAATGATCCATAATTCTTGACAGGGACTTCAGGAGGAGTTGGACAACAACCTTACAAAGAATCAGACACATTTATCCTATAATTTTGGACAATTTTCAAATTAAATATTCTTATGGACCAAAACATCTTAAGGACCAAATTAACAGATTGGTCCATAAGTTCTTACAGGGCACTGATGATTTCTGTTCTAAAAGAGTGAGACTACAACCTCACAGAATAAAATAGCATTACTATATCATTTTTAAGAAGTTTCAAAGAAAATGCTCAATATTTCTGCATACAGAAATAGCTTCAGTTACAAAGTTTGAGGCACAATAAAAACATACTGGGATATACAAAACTGAAACTGAGGGAGTGTTTCACTAGGACAAACTGGGAGGTTTTCGAACATCAGGACCTGGAGGCGTTCACCGACAGTGTTCTCGGCTATATTAAGTTCTGTATGGACATTGCCACAATGGACAGACAGATTCAGGTCTATCCTAACCAGAAGCCCTGGATGACCCGGGAGGTCAGGCAGCTGCTAAGACAGAGGAACACTGCTTTCAGGTCAGGTGACAGGGCTCTTTACAGCACAGCCCAAATAAAGTTAAAGAAAGGTATTAGGTTGGCTAAGATGAACTATAGGATGACCACCTGGACAGTAATAACAGTAGACAGGTGTGGCAGGGAATTCAGCATCTCACCAACTTGGGAGCTGCGGAGGGTGACGCATCACTGGCAGAGGACCTAAATATCTTGTTTGCCCGCTTCAAAGCGGGCAAAAAAGATGGAGCCACCTGGGACAGCCACACCATGCCCACAGCAGCTTCACCTTTAGAATAGAAGAGCATGAGGTGAGGCATATGCTGAATGCAGTAAATCCAAGGAAGGCCACTGGTCTGGATAGCGTCACAGGACATGTGCTGAAGGACTGTGCAGATCAGCTGGCTGGTGTCGTCATGAGGATTTTCAACCAGTCCAGGTCCACTGTCCCATTATGCATGAAGTCCTCGACTATAGTCCCCTTTCCCAAGAAACCTCATATCTCCGGGCTCAATGACTACCGGCCATGGCACTTACTCCAGTGGTGATGAAGTGCTTTGAAAGGCTGGTTCAGTCATATGATTGCAATGCTACTGTTAGGTATTTTTAGACAGATAGATATTGGATAGATACTTTATGTATTAGAAATGTTTAGTGGAGATAGGATGTCTAGTTAGACTGTTAAATGCTTAGGCATGCTTATGAGTTTCTACAGGGTACATCTGGTCAAGGATAACTAGAGAGAAAAGTTGATGACTGTCAGCAGACAGGATGTTTAATATTATTATTATGACGTGTATAACTGTAGCCTTAGCCATAATATGTTCAAGTCACGACATGTACTAGAGGTCGTGAGAATGTTTTTAGTTACACACCTCTTAATCAACAGACATACACATTCACACGTTGATTTGCTTCATGTTTTGACTACTGCTAGGGCCAGCTGCAAAGCTGGTAACAGAGACGTCCCGGTTGACGTTTCTGTGTAGTATGGGGCTAGCCCAACCGAGGCGATATAATGTATAGGCCTGGTGGGTTCGGGATCTTCCATCTTACATCTGCCTGGGTGCAGTTTGGAGGTGCAAGATACTTGAGCGTGTAATGTTAATTTTACCTGTGATCCTTTGAATAAATCAGCACTGTTTTGAAGTTAGATGGACTGGCTCGTCTCTCAAAGTTAGCAATGGTAACACGAACCATATCCTACACTACCACCAAGCCTCGATCCATATCAGTTTGCCTATAGAGCAAACAGATCAGCAGAGGATGCTGTGGCAACTGACCTTCATGCTGCACTGTCCCATTTGGAGCAGAAGGGGAGCTATGTGTGCATGCTCTTTGTGGACTACACTTCAGCTTTTAATACCATCCTTCCCCACAGATTAGTGGCAAAACTGATGGATCTTGGGCTTTCATACTCTATCTGCCAGTGAATTTATAGTTTTCTATCTGGTTGTACACAAAGGGTTAGACTTGGCTCTCATATCTCCCTGGCCCTCAGTCTCAGCACTGGCTCCCCACAGGGCTTTGCGCTGAGCCCTTTGCTATATACACTCTATACCTACGATTGTAGCCCCATCCATCAGAGCAACACCATCATTAAGTTTGCTGATGACACCACAGTAGCGGGGCTTATTTCGGGGGAGGATGAGTATGCTTACAGGGATGAGGTGGAGCATTTGACAGTGTGGTGCAGGGAAAACAGCTTTCTACTTAATACATCCAAAACTAAGGAGCTGATAATCGATTATAGGAAGAAGGGAACAGATGTCTTACCAGTACATTCACGGAGAATGTGTTGAGAGGGTGTCAGACTTTCGCTTCTTGGGGGTCTACATTGAGGAGGACCTAACCTGGGGAGTTAATGTCTCAGGGCTTCTGACTTAGTGAAGCGCCACCTCCTTTCCAGTTTTCGTGATGCCTGCTTTAGGGAGCGGAGCTGCGAGTTGTACCACGGGGCCTCCTCTGCGTTCATTTTCAGAGGGGCAACAGTATCAAGTGTATTACACAAGAAGGCTGCAGTGCTATCAACAAGATTATCGACTTGTGTGGGAGTAAAGTTCAGGTGGCCTCCTTCCACTGTGTTGGCAAATGGCACTGAAGTAAATAATGATGGAATTATTTCCTTAAACTTGGTAACAGCAATGACAGATGGACATCTACTGTAGTGGAATTGTTTCCCACATAGAGTATAATCCATTAATGTAAATTCAAAAGTTATTAGAAAATGGTCGGGGAAGAACTATGAAGTGTTCAGTTTTGATGCCATATGTCAGAACAAGATCAAGATTGTGATTAAAACAGTGAGTGGGTTTATTTACAATTTGAGAGAAGCCAACTGAGTCTAACCCTAACCACTCCATCTCTATGGCCCTAAACCCCTGGTTGAAGGCCACGATATGCTAACCCCTGGACATAGGAATAAAGCTTACCTCTCACACTAAGGTGGCATATTTGAAACATATTAAAGCTTGAGGTTGTATGATGGAGATATTCACTCAGTAATTGAATACCATGAACGTGCGAACAGAGTTCCCTGCAGACCTCCCTCCCTCTTTTATGTTATTAATTCAGGATAAGACCCCAAACCTCCCAAATAACAACAACCTGCAGTTTATTGTGGCAG